AAAAGTTGTATTTTCTATGGAGACATGAGAAATGCCTTCACTTTGATATATGTATTTGATATCATACCTGTTGAGAATATTTAGATACAAAGACTATTTTTATTGTATAAAGCTAGTTACAAAACCTAAATCAATTTCCTATTCTATTGAATATGTAACTAAACAAAGCTGAAATTAACAAATGAAATGTAGTAATTAGAAAATCAATATTTAAAAATAAAAACGATAGGATGGTAAGTTAATAAATATGATGCTGATTGTGAATAATGTGAGTCACATTTTACCTACTAAATAATAAAAAATAAATTTAATTAATAATAAATAAAGAAATTTATAAAAAAAATAGAATTAATCATATAAATTTACTGCATAAAATTATATATTGGCAATGTTAATTGTAAAAAAATAATATAATCAATTAGTTAAATCAATTGAAAAAGTTAAGAAACCATTATCAACTGTTTTTAATATAAAAAATATGGTTCTATGTGCTGTCCCTTTTACTTTTGATATATCAAATTCTACCAATAAAGATAAATTAATAGAAAATGATTCCTCAATTTCATTTTTACTTGCAAATTATGAAACCTAATTATAACTTAATAAACTTGCCATCTTTGAAGAAGATTCATTTTTCTTAAATTCTAGACAGGTTTTAATTTATGATTAAAGTAATACCTAATTTAAAAATATCTATTGTGTTCAACCTTTTTAGGATACAAATAAGAATCATGAAAATTATAATAAAAAACCAAAGCATCTTTATGGCGTTTCATTTTTTAATAAAAATTCTTTTCAAATTAATTATTAAAAAATAGCGCTAAAAGATATTATTATTTATTTTAACCTTTTCCTGAATAATGCTTACTATTTCAGGGTTTTTTTAAATGGCTAAATCATAAGATTGGATAGCTTTTTCATCTTGATCCAATTGTCTTAAAGCATATGCTAATAATAATGAATAATTTCCACGTTATTCAGAATAATAAATTGGATTATCAGGATTTTTACTAATTGTTTATTCCCATTCATTCAAAACTTCTTAGAATCTGTTCATGAGTTGTATATTAATATTAAAATGTTCTTATTTCATAAAATATGAGCAAAAGTTTGAGAATAAAATTAATATAACCTTTTCTTACATAAAAATTAGAATTTGAAGGGTCTAGCTCAATAACTTTATAGTATTAAACCAATGATTCTTTTAGATTTTCTTTTCTATAAAAACTTTAGCTTAATTAATTATAATGTATCAGCTTTTTGTTTAAACTTAATTTTACTTTTTTCTGCATATAATTGAGATTCTTTAGGGATAATCTAAATTATTTAGTCAAGAGAAATTAAACACTCATCAAAATGAAACAATAATTTTAATTAACATCCTAAAAATTATTTTAATTTTACCCCTTTTCCATAATAATATTTTGATTCATTAGGATTTTTTCAATATCAATCTCAAAAAAATTTAATGCACCTTATAGTCTATTTAATTATAATAATATGAAATGCTAAATTTATATAATTTAAATTTAAACCTTTTTATTTATAATTGTCTGAATTTTCTGGATCTATATTGTTTACTTTTTCATCGTTATCAAGGGCTTATTAAGGAAGCATCATACTTTTAATAAGTTAAAATTTTATATTATTAACGTCTTTGTTGAAATCCTTATTATTATTCAAACCTTTTCCTGCATATAATCTTGAATTATTAGAATATATTTAAATTGAATTATCATAAATAATTAAA